AGAGTCGCAGCAACAGCAGGGCGCCACAGAGGTGCAGACCGAGGAGGAGGCGGCTGTTGACAAGCTGGCGTGGCCGCTGCGCGTGCTGATTGCTGCTGGCCTGGCAGAGTCGATTCACAGCGTCCACCAGGCGGGCGTCTACCACTTGGACATCACCCCGCGTGAGTGCCGCCGCCGATGTCCTGGCCACAGGTGCTTGCTGCAGCAGCAGGGTCGCGTGAAATTTGGCTGTCCATGCGCCAACTGACCATGCTTTGCTGACTGCCTGGCCCATCTGGTGCAGGCAATGTGCTGGTGGACACCGAGGCAAGGGGGACCACTGGCGGCGTCAGCGTGACGCTCATTGACATTGGCCTGAGCAGGGTGAGTAAGGGGACCGAGGGGGCGAAGGGGGCGAGAGGAGGCCCTTGCCAGCCGATGGATTTCAGGGAACTGAGTTTCTGGGGCGTACATATACTGAGGTTTCAAGAGAGAGATAGATAGATAGATAGATAGAGAGAGAGAGAGAGAGAGAGAGAGAGAGAGAGAGAGAGAGAGAGAAAGAGTGTGTATGTGTGCGCGCGCGCGTGTGTGTGTGTGTGTGTGTGTGTGTGTGTGTGTGTGTGTGTGTGTGTGTGTGCGCGTGGCGTGTGCGTGTATGTTGTCAAGTTCTTGCTGGCTGCAATCAGGGCGGGGGAGGGGGCGGCGTACAGCTGTTTGCAGCGCTGACATAGGGCTTGTTTTAGGGGTTGCCAGCGTAAGTGGCGTCCATCTAGCCAGTGTTGATCTTATCGTCCAGCCAAAGCGGTGCAGCACTCAGCGCCCGGCTCCCCTCCCGCATTGCATCAGCACGTCATGCGCAAGATTGTGCAAGGCTAGCTTCACAAGGCTTCAAATTTGCAATGCTTTGCCGTGCTGCACATGAGTTGGGGTATATTTTGTTGAACTGCTCTTCCACGACCCACCCAGCCTGGTGCTTCTGCGCGGGACATGGACGGCGAAACAAGCTTGCTCACCAAGACCAAGGGGGGAACACCGGGTTACATGGTGAGTGGTTGAATAGCAGCAGGGACATACGTAGCAGATGTATAAGCAGCTGCAGCAGCAGCAGCAGCAGCAGGAGCAAAAGCAGGATCAGGAGCAGGAGCAGCAGCAGGAACAGGAGCAGGAGCAGGAGCAGCAGCAGGAACAGGAGCAGGAGCAGCAAGAATTGCACTTCAACGTTGCATTGAAACCCCAGTTACCCCAGTTGCCGTTGGTAACTGGGGTAACTGCTATAGTTGCAACCGTCATGTGCGTTCTTGTGATTGGGCAGTGTGTGAGGTGGGTACCAAATCATATCACTCCTTACAAGACTCATGGCATCCCGCCCCCCTTCCTTGCCCATTGGCGGTCGCCTTTCAGAACCAGGCCCAGACCAAGGGCAAGTATGGCACGGCCAACGACGTGTATCCCTTGGGCGTCATCATCAGTGAGATGCTGACCGGGCTCAACTCGCTCCTCACAGCAGACGAGTGCGTGCGCGCCTTGCAGCTGGCTGATCAAGACGCGGCAACGTGGCCGGCCGGCCGACACAGCGGCTCCTATATGGACGACGGGGATGAGGCCAAGATTTACTTGTGGATGGAGTACGGCATGCGTGTGCCGCTGGCCACTGTGATCCAGTTCATCCTGCGGAAGCACCAACACGTGCCCAAGGCGCTGTGGCACCCTGCATGGTTCACCGGTCAAGACACCGCCGAGATTGCGGCTGCTGAGAGCGCGGGGGAGGTGCTGCACGCGCAGGTCTGCCTGTGCTTTGACATCAAGGAGCTAGGGCGGTCGAAGCTGCCGGCGGTGCTCGGCGCGATGCGCCCTGCAGTAGTGGCTGCTCTGAAGCATGGCTGAGATTGGGGGGCCACCCTTGGGTTGCATTGTGTGTCGTGTGTGGGATCTGCCAGGCCTGGAAGAGCTGCCGGTGGTGCCGCCTGCGTTGCTTGCAGTGAAGTTTGTGCTTGAAGCATAGGGTGTCCTGGATGGTATCATCTTTCCGAGCGAGCAGACCAGGTACACTGAATTGCGCATGCGCATGCATGTGTTAGTTTGTCTTGTGCTGCAGACGCTGCACAGGCGGCAGCAGCATGCGCCTGGTGCATAGCTTGCAATCTCTCTGTGCTCTTGCTATTTTGCTTTCAAATGATGCGGTGCGATGATGGACCTGGGACTTCGCGTCAGGGGTGCACTACTGCCGGCCGATGATATGGCACGGCCCCGCTGCGTTGGCACGCTGTGCCAGCAGGCACACCCTCACTCTGTCACTCTTGTCCTTGTCCCTCCTCCAAACCAAACCTTGATGCCTTCACCACTGTGCTGCAACTGTCCCTTTGTTTGAGTAACAGCTGCGTCCACCTGCATCATGTAATGTGTTTGTCTGCTGGGCCCCGCAGGGGTTGACCCATGTTTGACTGTATGGCCCCTGCGCAGGTCTTGCAGCCAGCGCTAAGAGCTGTAAATGGCCCACGAACCTGCACATGCCGACATTCTATAAAACATTATCAGCGTTTGCATCCTAAGCTGCTGGTTCAAAAGCAACACGAGGAGCAGCGAAGCATCGGTGGCGGCCAGCAGGTGCAGCACAGCACCGGCTACCCAGCTGTGTTGTTTTGATGATTTGGGGCTTGCCCTGGGCTGGCACCAAAAAACGGTGCATTTTGCTTTGAATATACGTCCTTCTCGGTTCGCCTGGCTGTCTTTATAATCAATACTGAAGATTGCACCCCTGCGCCCGCAGCGAGATCATCTTTGCTGTTGCATACACACTCGCTGACGATGCCGGGCACCCATCACGAGTACGGAACTGCCTGACCAAGTCACGCCATATCATTGATACCTTTATGCAGTCGCATTGCAGCCAGATCGATTGAGGGGTCAAACCTGTGACACGAAGGCCAGGCCTGGCAGGCACCGCCCTGCATGTCCGTAAGCGTACAAAAGGATAGGCCTACCGCCACTCCCAAGCGCGTCAAGGCCTGGCGGTGGCCACCC